CCGCAGAGCCCTTTGACTCTACGTTACTCAACTTTACCTCGATCCCGACCAAGGATTGGCCCGGAACGATCGTCCTGAGGCGCCCGTCGAGCCCAATCGATCACTAAGAAAACCAAAAGTGACATCCAGGAAAAGTCTCCGCCTGAACGACCCCCCGCCGCCGCTTAGGTGCCCTCCCACACGACCGACCTGCGAACCCTGACGTGCGGCGGTTGCCCCGGGGCAGGGGAGCTTACGAGTCGTCGCAACAAAACACAAAGTCTATTTTCGCACACTCTCTCCGCCCCCCCCCCCCTTTGGTTCGGCGAAAAAGTGGATTGTTTATTGGCACTGCAAGTTAGTTACGCGTAACTTGCAGAGGAAAGAGGGAAAAGGAGGGAGGGAGGTCAGAGCTCAACGGCTGCTTGTTGAAGCGTCATCTGATATAGACGCGGGGTGTTCGCTCGAACGCATCCGCTTCTTGATCTTTCCGATCGTTTCTGCTTGTGTGTGTGTAAGGGCAGCATACGCAGGTCTGTTCTCACGTTTAGAAAGTCAGTCTCCCCCGTCATCTTTACTTTGTTTCATCACGTTGGGATCTGAGAGCCTTTTCTTTTCTGCTGTAACCCCCTTCTCTCACCGGAGAGGCTTTCTTTCCCACATCACGAGCTTCGGGGGGAGAGGAACACAAGCGAGACACAGCCAGTGTGTGAGAAGGAAACGGAGAAAGAGGAAGACACAGCAAGGAAGGGAGAAAGAAACGACGTCCGATCATGGGACCGACTAACACCGACGCGATGATAGTGAACCAATCTGGCTGGACGCATCTCCGCTCGGCTGGCGCCTCGCGCCGGTCGAGAATCATCATCGCCGCCCTGATCATGTTTCTCGTGTCGGCGGCGCTGGTGCTGCAGCCCGACTGGCACGTCGCCACATCCGGGCTGCGCGTGCCCGGCTTACATCGCCCTGCGGCGTCAGGGTCTAATACTACGCCCACACCAGACGGAGGGGGGGGAGGGCCGTCATCAGAGACAACTAGCGACACGGATTCCGGGGTCCTGGCTTCGATACTCACGCCGGACGAGGACGGCGTGCTCCTCTCGGCCGGCAGCCCCGTCTTCACCTCGCCTAACGGGCGGTACTCGCTCGTTCTGCAGCCCGACGGGGATCTGGTTCTGTCGCACAACGATCTCGACGGCTCGGCGCACGCGCTGTGGTGGACCGACACGGGCGACAAGCACTCCGGGGGCCGCACCGTTACCGTGGAGAAGAAGGGCGGGCATGTGCGGATGGTTGTGAATGCGATGCTGAAGAACACGTGGGTGACGGTCTGGCACAGCGATCTCCTCACGATGTGCAAGAACCAAGCAACAGCAGAGGGAGGTGCTCTTGCCAAGAAGGGCGGCGGCGCCCGCGGCCACCTGGAGCTCTCCAACGACGGGAAGCTCACCCTCGCGGGCGCGTGCGACCTGCGCATCCCGCCGGACCACCGCGAGAAGAGCCGCAGCCTGGCTGTCATCGTCGCGGGGCTGTACCGCACGAACCACGTCACCTGCAAGACGCACATGGAGCACCTCGTCGATGGACACCCGTCGTTTACCAAGATTGACGTGTTTGCGTACATGCTGTACGAGCCAGCGGACGCGGATGTGCACGGGCGCACGAAGGAGTCGATAGAGGCGGAGCTGCGGGCGTGTTACGGCACGCACCTGAGGTCTGTAGATGTGGTGCCTGTTGCTGAGGCGGAGGTGGAGTATCCCGGCGGTGAGGCGGCGATGCTGCTCCCGTGCGGGGACAGGTTGAGGAGGCTGAACAACCAGCTGAGGACGGTGTCGCTGGCGGCGCAGCGGTGGTGGGCGTGGACTGTGGCGAACGGGTTCACGCACGACACGGTGATGCGGATCCGGCCGGACACGTCGTTTTGGGCGCGGCCTGGGTTTAAGAGTCTGGAGGAGCTGGGTGACGCGTTGGTGTTGCCACATCCGAAAGGGGAGCATTACTTTTATTGCGCGCGGATGAAGGGCAGCGTGGGTGTTGGTGAGTTACTTCTCTTCTGAGGTTTCTGTTCTGTGACGTGAGACTAACACGTGATAGGCCCGACTGACCAGATCGCGTACGGCAACGCGGCGTCGATGCAGCAGTGGCTGTACATGTACGACCGGTTCGCGCAGATGGTGGATCTGGCGTCGAACCCGGACCGGCCGGCGCTGCGGGACTTCTCCGGGTGCGAGGACATGCCGTCGGGCCCGCTGGCGAGCGACTGTCCGCGCCCGGCGCCGTGCTCGATCGAGTGCCTGGTCGCGTGGTACCTGGACGCGCGCGGGGTGGACTTCCGGATTGAGTGGGGGTGGGAGCAGAACCCGCTGCGGTGGAAGGATATCGGGATGCTGGGCGCGGAGGAGGAGAGGATGGCGGATCAGCATCAGGAGGATAAAGATGATGGGATGACGTGGGGATGAGGAGAAGTTGAGAATGGAATGGGGGTGGTTTCTTTTGTTTCTTGGGTATAGCGTGGTGTTGGGGTTGGGATTAGGATTGCTTCGCCATGTGACTTTGGGCGTTTGGCTGGCGGCATTGGGGGAACGGGGTTGTGAATGGTAAAATGGTGTAGAGTAGCTTACACCTTTGAGAAAGACAAAATGAATCAGAAGCCAAGATTTGACGGCTTGATATACTCATGAACACCATGCGTCCGCAGACACCAAAGTGAATGATGTTCTAGACATGTGGTAGAAATCAGGCCACTGGGCTGAGGAGAGGCTCATCTGACGCGAGGACGTTGATTACCGCTGGCAGCAGGCAATGTCGGCTTTGGCTTAAGGCGCGGAGACATGGTGAGTGCTTCATTTCCACTGCCACGCATCGTGAAATGTGGTTGACGATGGCGGGAGAGGTTGGATGAGGTGAGATGGAACGTTATGCTCACCTAAGGCAGTCAGGGGTTCGATGTGCGCGGGGTTCCGGAGTGGGTCTGTCGGCTGAACTCTTGCCCTTTTGGGATGGGCTCCGGATGAGCGGTGCGTTGCGGCCGGTTGTACATCAACTCATTTACACACTTATTTTCCATTTTATGAAGAAGGAAAGTGTATGCGTCAGTCAACCATGAATCACAAGACGCATGTCAATAGTGTGTGCGGTATAGCATCATAGCCGTTCTCGAATAGAAGACAACGCAACCATGAGAGACGGATGTCAACAAGTGTGAAGCGGACATTGATAGTGACTCTTTGGATTGCACGACTAAGAGGATGAAGATCATGAGGCCCAGAACGACAGCATCCACGTGGAATCCGGCATGGGTGCGCGGGGAAAAAAAAAAAAAAGGCTTGGACTGGGGTTTCTCCAGTCAACTTGGCACGGGAATAGAGCATCACACCGGGGAACTACGGACACTGTCGATTAGTTACTCTCTACCCCTGATTCGGCAGCGCCTCTTTTTCTCGGTAGCAGTTAACGTGCGAGGAACGACAGGCCCTTGCTCGCGGAGCTGAACGAGAAACAGGAAAAGCCGGCTCATGACGCAAATAGCAGTGTTTGGACCGGGGTCTTGGCGTTTAAGGTGATGGAAGGAATTAGCATGATGGCGCAACTAGTTCTGAGAGGATAGTGAACGTGCGAGGGGGGGATAAATGTGGAATGGGTTGTGAAGAGTGAGAGTGAGCTTTCCCGGGGAGACGGGTCGTGTACCGCCGGCTTGCCGCCACCTCATTTCCTCTTTCCCAATTTCGCACGAAAAAAGCGTCTAAGACCACGACAAGACGACGTGTGTCTCCTAATGGTCTGTGGCGGCGAGCTGCGGACGAAAGGTCGTGTTCTTTTCCGGTCTCTCAGACCATGTGTCCAGCTCGGGTTCAGCCAGCCGGCATGGGACCCATCACAGATGTAGGTTCGATGATGCTGATCACTTCTAGACTCTCTCGCATCTTGTTAGGTGGGGTTAACGAGTGCTGAACTCTCACGATTCTCCTTCCTTTTGACCTTCAAGGCGTTGTAATGAGATAAAGTCAACACTCGAGATTGTTCGTCTCGGTGAACGTGCCAGAGGGCATCAATCACCATGACAGCCTGCTTCGACTTGCAACTGCAACGGCAGAACGGTTGCCTTGCAAACGCCCTCATCCGATCTCTCCACTTACCGGGCTGAAGAAACAAGAAACACCAAAAGAGTCCGGAACGGCGGCTTGGGGGTCGTCAATGGTTGCCCAGGGGCCCAACGCCGTGGTTGCGTTGGCGCCGGTGACATGTAGCTTCCAAGGCTAGGTCGTCCATTCAGGGGGCGCGGCCAGTGGGAGGCCCAGGATGACCCCTATTTCGCCAGCCCGTCGCACCGGTTGAGCTGCGCTAGTCCTGTTCCTGTTCCCGCTAGCAGCCCGCTCAGTGGTCCGCCGCCTGGTCCGCCGCCTGGTCCACCGCGCCACTACAGGCGGCGCTTGCCTTTTTGAGTCTCACAGTCTTCCACCGTCAACTGCCATCGTCACTTCAGGTCGTCTTCTCAACTTCTCTAGACTGCGCTCACCACCACGCCGTCGTCTTCACACCCACTCACCAACACGCATCGTCACCGCGCCGCGGGTCGGCGTCCATGGCTTCCACGCTTCTCCGCTGCTGCTCTCTCTCCCCAACTGTGGTAGTCCACTTGAGGAGATTATCTCCTGCGCCTCTGGCTATGCTGCTCGCACACGATCCGGTGCCGTTGGGCAATATTCTTCCACCCGTCTCCTGATGGAGTTAGTGACCCTATCGTCATGTCGCCAGCAACGGCAGACAGCCCAGAATATGAAGGGGACGTCTTCCTGTGCTTCTCGTGTTTCGTCTCCTGCTTCTTCAACCCCATCTCTGTCCTGTCAAGAAAGCCAGAGACGTCGGCGTGCGATCCAGCCGTGCAGACATTTTCGTTTGCGTCCTTTCGTTGATCTTAGATCATCACCACACTCTTTCCTTGGCCTCGGCCGCCTCACTATCGCTATCCATACACTCGAATACACACTCTTTAATAATCTAATAATACCACTCACTCAACAATGCACTTCAAGGCTTCTTTCCTGGCTGCCGCCGCCGCCGTCGGCCCGGCATTCGCCCACAGCAGCTCAGTCCAGACCACCACCTCTGCTTCGGCTTACTTGGGCGGGCTGAACCTCTACTGGGGACAGTACGGCCTTCCCGACGACAGGCTTGCCAACTACTGCGATGCCCCCGGCGTCACCTCTGTTTCTCTCTCCTTCGTCACTTACAGCCCGAAGTGGGGTAACGGATACCCGGGAACCAACTTTGCCGGCCACTGCGGCGGCGAGGTGTTCTTCAAGAACCCCCTGACCGGCTTGACCACCAAGCTCATCACCAACTGCGACTACATCAAGACGGACATCAAGTACTGCCAGAGCAAGGGAATCAAGGTGCTCCTGAGTGTCGGCGGCCAGTGCGACACGTCCCTGACCGGCGGAAACGGATGCCCCTACGACGTCGATAGCGAAGCCGCTGGCAATGAGTTTGGAGAGCTCCTGCACAAGACTTTTGGTCCCTACGACCCAACCTGGACTGGTCCTCGTCCGTTTGATATTAGCTTGACGGAGCACGTCTCCGTCGACGGTTTCGACATCGACTTTGAGTTCAAGTACGGTATGTCATGGCTATGTCCCATCTTACCCCTGAATTGTGAATGCTGACGACGCTCCAGCCGACCAAAAGCCCTACATTGCGCTGGTTGAGAAGCTCCGCAGCTGCGGTAACTACCATATCTCTGCCGCTCCCCAATGCCCTACCGGCGACCAGTGGTTCCAGCTGAAGGAGCTCATATATACCGTCAAGTTCGACGCTCTCTTCATCCAGTTCTTCAACAACCCCGGCTGCCAGATCTCCGACGCCCCCAACTACGACGACTGGGAGACGGTCATCTCTCAGACTTCGCAGAGCAAGGATGCCAAGCTGTACCTCGGTGTTCTTGCCAGCCCTGCCGCTGGCTGGGCTGGTTACGTCGCCCCGTCCGTCGTCAAGGACTTGATCTGCAAGGTCAAGGCCAAGGCGCACTTTGGCGGTGTCTCCGTCTGGGACGCCACCCGCGGCGGCATGAACCTCGTCGGCGGCGAGGCTTTCCACGTTGCTATCGCGGCTGCCCTGAAGTACGGTTGCGACGAGATTCCTTCCAACAGCGCGTCCATCTCGGCCTCCGCCTCGGCTTCTGTCGTCAACAGCGCGAGCGTCTCGGCTTCTGCTTCGGCGGCCAGCGTAAGTGCTAGTGCATCTGCCTCAGACTCCGGTCCCATGGTCAACTCGGCTACCGTCTCCGTCTCTGGATCCGCCAGCGGTGCCGCCTCTGCCTCTGCTGCCAACAGCGTTTCCGCTGCCGCCAGTGCGAGCGCGAGCGCGAGCGACAGCGCTTCGGCATCGGGCTCCGGCTCTGGTTCTGGATCTGCCTCCATCTCTGACGCTGGCTCCAACTCGGCCACTATCTCTGTTTCTGGGTCTGCGAGCGCCGCTGCATCCGCCTCGGCGCCCGGCTCAGCTGCCAGTGCTTCCGCCTCTGACTCTGGTTCTGCCTCCGTCTCCGATGCCGGCTCCAACTCGCTCACCATCTCTGCTTCTGCGTCTGCAACCGGCGCGGCGTCTGCATCGGGTTCTGCTTCGGCCACTGGTGCCTCAGTTTCGGGCTCCGTCTCTGATGCCGGTTCTGTCGTCAACTCAGCAACGGTTTTCGCCTCTGCTTCCGCTTCTGCTGCAGCCAGCGCTAGTGCCAGTGCCTCTGCTTCGGCAACTGACGTCTGCGAGGAAGACAACGATGGTTTCCCCTCCGGCACGGCGAGCAAGACCGGTAGTGCCTCTGCAGCTGCTACTGGCGGTGCTTCCGCGGGAGCTCCTGGTGGCGTCTCTGCTGGAGCTTCTGGCAGCGCTTCTGCTGCTGCGACTGGAGGTAGCAATGTCTCCGCGAGCGGTTCCAACGCTGGCGCGTCTGCTACCGCCGTTGCCACTGGCACCGACGGCCTTCCTCTGCCCACGCCTGTTGACACCAACAACGCGTCTGGAAGCAACTCGGCCTCTGGAAGTGCGAAGGCCGTCCCCACCGGCTCCGGCGCCAGCGGAACTGCAACTGCGATTGCCACCGGCACCGATGGCCTGCCTTTGCCTACCCCGGTTGATACCAACGGCGCATCCGGTAGCGACTCTGCTACCGGAACTGCCAAGGCCGTTGCCACGGGCTCTGGCTCGCTCAGCGTCACTGGTTTCGTTTCTGACAAGGCGACTGGAACTGGTTCAACCGCTGTCCCTGCGCAAAACACCTTCACCGTGTCGCAGGCCATGACCACCAGCACCGTGTTCACCACCTCGGTCTACACCGTCACCTCGTGTGCGTCTTCCATCACCAACTGCCCTGTTGGACAGGTGACCACTGACACCATCGCCTTGTACACGACCGTCTGCCCTGTCAGCGCCGCTTCCACTGCCGCTGCCACGCCTTCCATCACACAGTTCACTACCAGCACCGTTTACAAGACCAACGTCTACACGGTCACCTCGTGTGCCTCCACCGTCACCAACTGCCCCGTTGGCCAAGTCACCACCAAGGTTGTTCCGTGGTACACCACCATCTGCCCCGTCACTGCCGCGACGCCCACGACGAAGGCGTCTACCAAGGGCAATGACAGGGCATCCACCAAGACCGGGAAGGAGTCTCACAAGCACTCCAAGACGGATAGCGCCTCCGAGACGCCCAAGGCCACGGACAACGGCAGCAGCCCCAAGACGACTCCTGGCCAGGGAGGCAACAAGGACGTTCCCAAGACCACTGGGGGTGGCCAGGGCGGCAGCAACCAACCCTCGGTCAGCGTCCCTGCCTCTCCCAAGACCACGAGCCCCGGCGGCGGCAGCAGTGACAAGTGCACCGGCGCCAACTGCTCCAGCAACAACGGAGGTAACAACGGAGGTAACAACGGTGGAAACAACGGTGGAAACAACGGCGGCAAGGACTCGACCACGACGCTCAAGACGACGCTGATCGTCCCCATCACGACGGTCGGCAAGTCCAACTCCACTATTCCGGCGACGGGCACCGGGTCCCCCAACAAGCCCACTTCCGGCATCACCACGGCCACTCCCATCACGACCAAGCCGGTCCAAGCTGGCGCAGGCAAGGTCGGCGTCTTTGGCTTCGCGGGATTTGCCGCGGTTGCCGCCGCATTTCTTTTGTAAGGTGTGAGTACGGTCTCAATATGTTACATATACGGGTCCGACAACGTTTGGACGGGACCAGTTGTATGGCTTATATAATATTCTTCATGTATTGACGTTGGATACATAAAAGGGTGGGCTTTCGGTCGCGGAGTCGGGCCCGGATAAGGGCACTGGGGTTCTTTGGGTGTCTGAGCTCGTAAATGGGCAATACATGGCTTGTACGCACAGCGCCCGTGTTCATCCCAGGCACGCACTATGCTACGTCTGATATATCGAGTAATGGTGCGTGGTCAATTCGTGACATGGCGTCGACCTTGATGCATTTTGGGCTATGATGTTCGTGCTGATAGAAGCTTCTGGCGTTTCTTATCGGGGCGGTCGTTGGGTGATAGGTAGCACCTCATTATTGCCTTACGGTGCAATTGCTCAGGGTACCCAAGTCTGGCAACCTGGGTATGTATGGGCAGTACCGGTGACGTTGACATGTTCGCCAGGTAACAGCCCACGGCAGCGTACCATTGCCTGGTGCGACCGTAGTCAGGGCGATCAATGTCCGTTGCAGGTTGCTCCTTTGTCAGTATTCCCAAATCGGGGGGAGCATGACAATTGCATGGTGTGGCTCAAACCAGCGCCACAGGCACAAGTTGGGATTCCTGCCGTGTCACTGAGGTAGGTAGGTATGGTGTACTTTGACGGCGCTGTCTCTGTGCCCTACCAGTGCCTGCGTTCTATGCCTGCTTGCAGCAAGAGGAAGAAGCTGCTGCACGGGACGGGCAATGGCCAGTGGGAGGGGGGAGGGGAGAAGGGAGGGTCGCCTAAACTCCGTGTCCTTGTTCGCACCTAAGGTAACCTCAGGAAAGGGGAGGCCATGATTGGCGGAGGGATGACCCCACTTGGACGTCATATCTGGATTGCTGCAAGGAAGGAGGGAGGGAGGGGCGCGCGCTGAAGGCTAAAGAACATAGGCGCTGTTCCAAGCGTCTGTCGAAGTCGAGGCCAGATTCGAACGGGGCTATGTAAAATAGCGTACAGATATCCGCTCTCTAGTGTGTGCTGTTCCCGCCCATCATTGCCAGCTTCTGATGCAGCAAGGCGAACAACTACCTACCTTGGGTGTAGTAGGTAAATGTACCTTACGGATACACATGAGAAAGAGGTGTTCTGATGGAAGCCACTGTGATGTGATGACTGAGTGAGCCTATTTCGGTCTCGCTCTCGTGCGACGTGCAAAACTTGGCAGCTGCAACAACAACTATTCCTCCTTCTCGTCCTCATCCTCGATTGTGACCTGACCTGACCTTTCTTCTTCCCGCCTGGGCTTCATTCAATCTCTCTGAGTACCTACATACATACGGTGCTGCGTTTCCTGCAGCGTTCCAGCCCAGCTCAGCTCCTCTCCTTTTTTATTACACGTATTCCAGTCTCCTCCTCCCTCCCCACCCCCTGAGGTCTTGTCGCCGACCGAAGCACGTCCGTCTCACAATTGTGCTTCCCCCCCCCCCCCCCCCCCCCCCCCCCTCCCCTTCACCCCCCGCCGCCGCATACCCAAATCACATCTCCCCCATCTTCATCCGTTCCCCTGACCTATCAGCACGCCCAAGAACCCAGCAATTGCCCCGAGCATAAACTGCCATTCCCTGTTCGCCTGTTGCTCCATCCACTGTCATTGCATACTTACATATAAACTCATACTACCTAATCTTACGAGCAAAGGTGGGGAATCAACCTTTGGGGCCCGCTGCTGCTGCTGTCTGTCAGTGTCGCTGCTGTCCTGTGAAGCTTGGCTTCTCCAGTCTGCCACTCCACGTCCAGCCAGCCGCTGCCGCTGCCATTCTCCAACATGTCGGAAGCTGGTGATAGGTGAGTTAGGTTCCAACAGCCAGAACACCACCCCCTTCCCTCTCCCTGAACTCTACATCAGCTGGCATGCGTTCGACGGTCCTCTGGCTCGCGCCGTGAGACACCTGCAGCATTCCCCTCGCCGCATACACTCACTACCTACCTTCCACGCGTCCTACGGTCCGCTGGGCCGCAGCAACACCCTTGGCGGATGCATAGAGCTGGCTGACACTCGACTGACTTCCACAGCACCCACAAGCGCTCAAAGTCGGCTGCCGCCCTCTCCCTCCTCCGAAGAAACCACTCCCGCGGCGACGAAGATCCCTCCAACTCGGACGAAGGTGCGCCGCTGACGTCGCCCACCTCAGCAGCGACATCCCAGACAAACATATCCATGGCCCAAAACGCCCCCCGCGGCGTCTCCGCCTCCCGTCTTTCCACAACATCCCCCTCAATGGGAAGAACCCCATCCCACAACAGCCCACCCGCCGCTTTGACTTCCAAGATGAGCAGCGTCGGCGGCAGCGAGAAGGGCGTCTCCCTCGAGCAGTCCGTTCGCAAGTTCCGCATCGTCGAGGCCCTGCGGAGCGGCGACACGGCCTCCATCTCCAAGGCCATACGGGACACCGCCGAGGGCGGCCCAAGAACGAGCATTTCCTCCATCAGCACCCTCAGCGGCCCCGGCCTCGACGACACCACCGTCCTGCACCTTGCGATCCAATGCGCCGAGTTCCAGGTTGTTGAGTACGTCCTGTCCGACGGTGCGGGCATCCTCGACGTCAATGCGAGGGACAAGGACGGCAATACCCCGCTGCATGTCGCCGCCATCCAGGGCCGCACCCAGGTCGTCAAGCTGCTGCTCGAGCAGAAGGACATCAACGACGCCGTCGCCAACTACAAGGCCCAGCTGCCCATCGACGTCGCTCGCAACCCGGACATCTTCCAGCAGCTGCAGCTCTCGCGGTCGCTGTTTGCCGAGAACAAGGTCAGGCAGATCCAGAGTCTGATTGCCCAGAACGACTACAAGGCGTTGGAGAGCGTTCTTGAAGAACCCCGCCTCAAGCAGATCCTCGATATCAACAGCACCGAATTCGCGACCGAACCCACGACTGTCCAGGCTGGCGGCACCCTCCTCCACGAAGCTGCGCGGAAGAAGAACACCCAGTTGATCCAGGTACTTCTCCTCCACGGCGCGGACCCCTTCCGCAGAGACCGCAAGGGCAAGCTGCCGCAGGATGTTACGAAGGACGACGTTACGAGGGCAATGCTCAAGCGATCCCCTGCCGCTGTGGCGGCCCAGAGGGGTATCCAGGAGAAGGCCGTTCTCGGTCAGGCAGCGTCGCAGGGCGCCGGGACTGCCGCCCCTGGAGATCCGGTGGCAGGCCGCGAGGCTCGCGAGATGAAGGGCTACCTGAAGAAGTGGACCAACTACCGCAAGGGATACCAGCTTCGATGGTTCGTCCTCGAAGACGGCGTACTTAGTTACTACAAGCACCAGGACGATGCTGGCTCCGCTTGCCGTGGTGCGATCAACACCCGCATTGCCAAGCTACACATGAGCGCCGACGAGAAGACCAAGTTTGAGATTATCGGAAAGTCGTCGGTAAAGTACACTCTGAAGGCCAACCACGAGGTTGAAGCAAAGCGTTGGTTCTGGGCTCTGAACAACTCGATTCAATGGACCAAGGATCAGGCCAAGGAGGAGGAACGGCAGCGCGCCCGTGGTGCCGAGCTTCTGAGGCAAGCAAAGGCTGAACAGGCCGGAAAGGCATCCGATATGTCCATCAACGAGGCGCCGAGTGAAAGCGCTAGTGTTGCCGACACGAGAAGAAGCAGTGCGCAAATCCCGAGATCCCAATCGCATACCAAGATGTCGGTACCAAAGAGCGACTTTGCGGGCGCCAGCACCATCGCCGACGACGAAGAATTCGCCGACGCCGCCACGGATGCGGGAATGTCACGGGCTGCTGGCAACGGCCATCACAACCCAGACGACGACGATGACGATGATGAGTTTGAGGATGTGAGTAGCCGCGAGGAGCCCACAGTCAGCAAGGACGCTTTCAACATCACGGCCCAGTCCGCCAAGCTCCAGCTCGACACAATCTCAGCGGTCAACGCCGCCATGCTCGCTCAAGCCTCCAAGAATCCCAACACCACGGTGTCCGACGCAAAGGTTGCGCAGGCGCTGTCAACATACGACGCCGCAGTTAGGAGCCTGACGGGGCTTGTCGGAGACCTCATGCGCATTTCGAAGGACCGCGACGCATACTGGCAATACCGCTTGGAGCGCGAAACCGACATGCGCCGCATGTGGGAGGAGAGCATGGCCAAGGTCGCCAAGGAGCAGGAGATCCTGGAGGAGCGTGTTGACCAAGCCGAACAAAGGCGCAAGGCCGCCAAGCGGGCCCTTCGCGAGGTTATGAACGACTCGCCCGCTGGTGCCAACCAGAAGGAGCCTGTGGATGGCACGACGACTGTCGAGGCAGCTGTTGGAACCGACGATGACCTCGCGGTCGCGCCCAAGTCCCCCGAGAGGAATCTGAATAGAAAGAAGTCGGCAATCATTCTCTCTGACTCGGAGTCTGAAGAGGAGGACGAGTTCTTCGATGCTGTCGATGCTGGAGAGGTTGAAGTCAGCGAGCTGCCGCCATCCGAGGCCGTGACGTCTCCGCAGGAGGAAAAGCAACAACAGCTTGTTGTCTCTAGCGGCGTGGATATTAGCAGCTCATTCAAGGGCTACGAGAACGGCATCAGAACCAAACTCAAGATGGACGCCGATAACCGGCCCAAGATTTCGCTTTGGGTGAGTAGACTGATGGCAGTACAGTGACGTAAACTAACAATAGCCAGGGTATTCTCAAGTCAATGATTGGAAAGGATATGACCAAGATGACTCTGCCGGTATCTTTCAACGAGCCAACCTCGCTCTTGTACCGTGCCGGTGAGGATATGGAGTATGTTGACCTGCTGGACCAAGCCGCGGAGCGTTCAGACTCGATTGAGCGTCTGCTTTACGTGGCAGCATTCGCCGCCAGTGAGTACGCGTCCACAATTGGGCGTGTCGCGAAACCCTTCAACCCCCTTTTGGGAGAGACGTTCGAGTACGTCCGCCCGGACAAGAACTACCGCTTCTTCATTGAACAAGTCAGCCACCACCCGCCTGTTGGTGCCGCGTG